AAATGAAATTTAGCCATATCACTTTTCAGATCTACCAAAGTTTCTTCGGTTGACGTGATTTCTCCGACCTTCAAAGCAGCAATTTAAAAAAGAAGAGAATTGTAATGAATAAAAAATAAAATGATTTTAACAATAATAATCATTACGACTACCAGATCCCTTCAGAATATTCTATCCTTGACGAATCCTTTTCATGGAGCACCCGATATCACCTGACCACCTCCCTCCCCCCCTCCCCTCCCCTCTTTTCCACTGGCTCTTTGATCAATACAGACTATATTTCAGTTTAAAGGGAGCGGAATACAACGTGATATGTGATAAACGTAAGACAAACTGATAAAGAAGATACACTCAAATTGAAATGCTAAGATTCGATGTATGCAAACAAAATGCTATGATGCAATGAATCATATCATACCAGCTCAACTGATTGTGGTGAACCATTCAGAGGTACGAACTTGAGTTGATACCTGACATCCTTAATCCAGTTATCACCGTAAACACACAAATAATGATCTCGTTCTTCCAGTGTATGCGAGCCAACAGTTTCGAGTGTATCCAATAAATGAAACGATATCGGTGTCTCTTTGTCTTCCATCAAAAACTTCATCGGTATAAATTCACTCAAATTCGCGCGATTGAACGGTACAAAGAAGAACTCTGCTGCCGTGCAACCCTTCCGTTTATTACTTTCCTGCAATTCACTTCCACTAATAGCATTACCAGTGAATAGTTATCATTCTTGAATATGATGTTAACGACAACGTGACCAATATCATTATTACTATGATTATTATTATTATTGTTACTATTATTATTATGTTCATTATTTTGACTATTACTATCACATCGGCCATTGGTCAATTCTTAGAAAAAATATACGATTATTGCTCGTATACATGGTTTTAATAACACACACCGTTGATGAACTCATGAATAAACTTCATATAAGCATCATCACACATTTGAAAGCATTTCTATTGGCAATTCGAAGAATGTTCCTTTCCCTGTTTCTCTTAAGGTATCGCCGGGAGGTATTCCTTGAAAAATAAGTCGTTTCAGACAGGGACCGAGATGTAGCTCTAAGTGCGCACATAATTCCAGTGGAATGTGATTAATGAATGAGAAACAAATACGAATAATCACCTGTATAAGTCTAACACCACCTTCTTTATCGAACAAAACAAGTTTGAATTTACTCATCTGTGCTGATTTACAAATTATCATCAGGCCATGCTCTTCCCATTCCTTTCTCATGGTGATCTTGAAAAACGCTGCTTCCTTGAAAAAAAAAAACACTCATTTTGATTCCTCACTTTATTCGAGCATCGAAATGTGTCTTATAATTTGAATTGTGATTGATACATCATAAACTAAGTTGATAATAAAATTATCCATATTCTCGTTACTGATTTGAATGGATTCCATTAATCGCTAATGATGACGCGTATTCGTAACGATCGAATGTTGCACGCATTTAAAATTCATGCAATTCTAGAG